TGAATTAAACTGAGGTAGGATAACTCCTGGCCTGTAATATTGATGTGCTAAAAAAAGAAAAAAGGTCAAGGCTACAGTGATGTTGTTAAACAGAGCCATGTGAAACAAGTTTCCACTGTTAATTATTTCATTTTGAATGTTACTGTCATGAAACAGAGGTGGCTGATGCTCCAAATACAACACATGACAGTGAATTTTACAAAATGATTCCTGGTGCTACCGAGAATATTAGAAAATGGACTTAAGAGGCACATAAGTTCCTCCGTCTTCTAATAACATGTTAATTTTTCCACTATAATCTACCTTGTCCATAATTACTATCGCATTTGCTCAGACCTTTGCAACACAATTGTCCTCAAAGATTTGTTAAGTTATACCATGAATTAAGGAGAGATCCTAGACTTCACCTTGTGAAACAGACAAAGCAAATGCAATAGTAATTATGGACAAGGTAGATGATAGTTGAAAAATTAACATGTTATTAGAAGACGGAGGAACTTATGTGCCCCTTAAGCTCGCCCAAAGTGCCCTGCATAACCGTGGATTTCCTGCATGCACAACCAAATGTCACCCATCTCTGTACAAACATTGTATCATGTGGAAATGAATCTTCGACTTTAATTTGTATTAGGTGCAGATTTATCATGTTCAACTAAGCATGGTGCATGACAAGTGTGTGTGATGAAGTGCAGTGCATGTTACATGACATGTGTATGCTCATTATATCAGTCTTATTTAACTCATATAAAGCAAAAAGAAAACAGGATAGTGTCTTAAACATTAAACATTGCGGTGTATAGGCACACTCATCAATTATAGCTAGCAAAATTTAATTCTGCATGGCTTAAGTATTATTTATAGCATACAGTAATAAGACATTGATGAATAAGACACACATGCAACATATGTGTATCTTAATTAAACTTAAGAGAGGGAGGGAATGACCTCCACTCACTAAGGCTGAGCGACTGATCACCTCAGTACTACTACTGTCTTCAGTGTTATGCTCGCCTGTATTCTGCTGAAGAAGTCTGTTATATAGACAAACTTTTGACACTAAAGACAAAGTGTTGCATGTGTCCTGTTCATCCATATTAAACATGAGAGATGACAGCACCAGCAGTGAGCTCAGTCCTGGTCATGTACTTATCTACTGATGACAGCACTAGCAATGAGCTTAGTCCTGGTGTCCCACTCATCTACTAATGACAGTACCAGCAGTGAGCTCAGTCCTGGTCTCCTATTCATTTACTGATATATCATAATTTTCTCATATAAGGTGGAAGAAAGTAACTTGCTTTTAAATATACTGAGCACCTGTGGTATGTAGAAAGTTTTTATAATACATCAGCCATCTTCCATCAAGGAAGAATGACAACTCCCCCCCCCCCACCCACCCACAAAAAAATTGAGTTCACCATCATTTTGTAGCTGCCTCACCAGCAGGGCACAGACATCACAATTCAGATGACTCTATGAATTGAAAAATCCTCTCCCATCCATCAGAGTACAGACACTGTACTTCCCACCTCCAGGACTGTAACATCCTCACCCATTCTTCCAACTACAGGCACTGTACTTCCCACATTCAGGGCTGTAACATCCTCACCCATCCTTCAGAGTGCAGGCTCTGTACTTCCCATCTCCAGGACTGTAACATCCTCACCCATCCTTCAGAGTACAGGCACTGTACTTCCCATCTCCAGGACTGTAACATCCTCACCCATCCTTCAGAGTACAGGCACTGTACTTCCCACCTCCAGGACTGTAACATCATCACCCATCCTTCAGAGTACAGGCACTGTACTTCCCACCTCCAGGACTGTAACATCATCACCCATCCTTCAGAGTACAGGCACTGTATTTCCCACCTCCAGGACTCAAGTTCAGCTAACCAATTTTCCTTAATCTTTTCATAAATGTTAGCTTGCTCACACTCCAACTGCACATCACACTGTAGGGAATGTGTGCAATCATTTCCAGCAACTCAGTGCTACCTGCAGTTTGTATTGTCAGTACAGTACATGTTTATTACAAGGTGTTGCACCTTGAGGTTACAGCAAGACAGCTGTACAGCTCTTGAGCCTGCTGTATAGCTCTTGAGCTAGCCTGCTGTGCAGTTCTTGACCCAACCATCTGTACAGTTGTGAACCTGCCTGATGTGCAGCTCTTGATCCAGCCAGCTGTACAGTTTTGAACCAGCCTGCTGTACCGTTCTTGAGTCAGTCACCTGTACAGTTCTTGAGCTAGCCTGCAGTACAGTTCTTGAGTAAGCCTGTTGTACAGCTCTTGAACCAGCCAGCTATGCAGCTCTTGAACCAGCCAGCTATGCAGCTCTTGAACCAGTCTTCTGTGTGGCTCTGAGTTTACTCTCCCTCCCCCCCCCATTTAAAGCTGACACCCATTATTATTTATTTATTTATATTTAAATATAACATATTTTTATTTGATTTCTCCAAAATTTTACTAAACTTTAAAGGTTTGAGGTCTTGGTGCTTCCTTGTATGAAGAGTGTTTGTCCATACAGTATGTAGTTTACCTACTTGTAGTCTTCCTGGAGAGAATACTGAGGGTCATTTTCCCCATGGCTCAATCCCAGACTAGGCCTACTGGTGAATGGTCTGATCACCCTGGCTGTTCGTGGTAGCTGTACAAGTTCAAAGTATGCACCACAGCTCTGCTGATCAGGAACTGACTTGAGAAACTTATCAAGGTTTCTCCTTGCACATAGCCAAGGGTCTGTTGGTGATTTCCCTTACGTATGGAGGGAGGGCATTGAAAAGTCTTGGTCTCTTCACACTTAATGAGTTTTCCTTTGCTGTGTTCTTTGTACTCCTGCTTTTCACTGGAGGTATTTAGCGCTATTTGCCGAGCCTCTGTTATGAGGGAATTGTTTGTGTGTGCAGATTTGGGGACAATCCCTCTAGAATTTTCCAGGTGTAGATGGTGCATTTTTCTTGCCTTTGTTCCAAGAAGTGCAGGTTAATGGACTTCAAGCATTCCCAGTAATTTATGTGTAAGTAGTGAAGGTTCTCTGCACATTCTCCAGGTCTTTAATTTCACCTGCTTTGAGCAGAAATATCAGAATACAGCAGGATTCTAGCCTCCATAGAGGAAGTAACTTGAGGAGCATCATCATTAGCTTGGTGTCTCTTGTTTTGAAGGTTCTAGTTATCCAGCTCATCATTTTCCATACAGTTGTGATAGTGACTTAGTTGTGATCCTTGAAGGTGAGATCCTCTGATGTCTCTCCTAAGTTTCTCATAGTTGCCTGACACTCTGTTGAGTGATTTGAGTTTTTGTACTTTGTTCTGGTCTTATTTTCTGTCATTCCATGATGTAGTAACTGAAACTTGTCCTCATTGAACATATTGTCAGTGGTCCACTGCAAGACTTTTTATATCTGCTGGAAAGTTTACTGTATCCTCAATGGATGCTACTCTCATACTGTAGTAGTAGTGTTAGCATAGGTTGGTAAGGTACTATGATTTATGTCTTGGTCTGTGTCGAATATGAGAATGAGGAAAAGAACAGGAGCAAATACTGTGCCTTGGGGGACAGAGCTTTTCACTAAGGCAGCTTTGATTTCATTCTGTTTAGTGTTACACTTTGCATTGTGTTCTTTAGAAAATTTAATATTCATCTGCTCACTTTACAAGTTATTCCTTTTTCTTGCAGTTTGTGTGCTGTTTTGCCAAGGTCATACCTGTCAAAGGCTTTTGCAAAGTTTGTGCAAACTATACCCACATTCTTTGTCTTGCACTACATCCAAGACCATGTAATGGTCAAGCAGTTGCAAGAGGCAGAAGTGACCTGTTCTAAACCCATGCTGCCATGGATTGTGCAATTGTTGAGATTCCATGTGATTAGTAGTCTTGCTTTTTAAGACTTTCTCAAAGATTTTGTTAATGTGGGACATAAACACTATTGGTCTTAAGATTTTTGCAGTTGCTTCACTGCCATCTTTGTGGAGCAGGTCTGTGTCAGTGGCTTTTAAGGACTGTGGGATGATTCATGTGTCCAGGTTACTTTCCCATAGGATATTCAAGGTCCAGGATAGTGCTTTCTTGCAATTCTTAATGAATGTGATAGTCTATGAATCAGGGCCTAAGGCAGAGTGCAGGGAAATGCAGTTGATGACTTCTTCAAAGTCCAGCAGCGTTAGTTACATCAGAAATTATGGAGATGTCAGCAGGGTTTTGAGTCTTGTCCTTGAAAAACTTATTTAGACTATTAATCTTTAGACTGTGACTGAACACAGTCATATTATGCCTTCAGTATTTTATTCATTTCTTTGTTGTCATCAGTGTAAGTTCCATCTCCTTCATGTTTGCAGAAGATTATTCTGTTGAAAATAAAATAACATTGAAACTCGATTTTCTAGGAATGTCTTACCATTACATTATGGAAGTTAGGAAAATAAAATATGCCTAAAATAATGCAAATGTCCTTGGAGACAGCTTTTTGTGAAATGCTTCTGTTATTTATCAGGGGATGCCTGTAAATGCATGTATATGTATAACAGTCAATCATTTCACTCTATAAGCTTCTTTCCATAAATTTTGTTACTATCAAGGTTTTCTGTGTTCCTTAAGTTTTTTCTTTTGATTATTCTTCTGTGTCATTTCTGTCTTATTATGATCTTTTTATATTATCATATAAATTATTATCTTTATTATTTGGTGAAAATTCAATGGAGAAACTTGTCCTATTGAGCACTTTTGGAAACTCACTATAAAATATGGCAGAAAAACTGCTAGTTAGTCGCTTATACTGCAGTGTCAATCTGTGAGATAGATACATGGCTTCATGTAATGTTCAGTATTTAATATTAAGTCTTGGGAAAATACTGTACATGCATTATCCTAATTACTAATCATGCTAACTGAGGAGTTAAAATAATTAAAATACCAAGGATTCTAAATAGTAGTTGAAAAATTTGGTTATCTTTGTATTGAAGATGTTATTGAACAGGTACTAATGTACAGTGGGTTTTGCAGACTGTTGCAAGACGGAGAGCCAAGAGTCAAATATCAGGCACAGCTGGCGGCCGATCTAAAAGTCGCAGTTATGCCCCGTCATCTATGTCTGCCACAGATGATGCTTTTGATGAGCCTGATGTTTCACCAACCACAACTGCCACCACCACAACCACCACCACTGCGGCAACCATGCGCCCAACCCCACCTGCAGATCACTATACTATGGAGTCGCTTTCAGATGAAGTATGTCAAATGTACAAGTCATATTGTTTATCTTTAATAATACTCTAAAGTAAAAGTGTAGGAATTATCAGATGAAATATGAATTATTCCTGCACAGTTAGTAAAGTGGAAGCATGTAACAAGGCATGTGTCAGGCTGTCCCTTTCTTTTATCATCTTTATTCCTTCTCTCTTTATATCTGTCCTTTTCTTTGACCCCTCCCATGTTTCTTTGTTCCTTCTGTTTTCCTATCTCTGTTCCTCTACTCTTTCCTTCACCCTTCCTACTTTCTTTGCTCCTCCTTTTTTTTTTTCTCTGTACTGTACTTGCTTTCAGTCTCTGTTTTAGAGATGAATGTTTTTTTTTTTGATGTTTGTGTTCCAGGGACTTGCATGTGTAATGGCTCATGTTCAGTTGATAGGCTTAAAACCAAACAGACTAACTTCCCTCTGTCTATCTTCCTTCCCTCCAGGCTTCTGTACTTATCCCTTCTTCTTTGTTTATCTTTCATCATGAAACCCTCCATGTCTCTATCACAGGCTTGTTTTAAAGCACTAATTGAAATGTATGAGTATGTTTCAACATAATTTGATAGTAAGCATTACATTCATAAAATTCATCAGATGAGTTTCAGGATTAAAACAAATTTGATTACATTTAATGGAATTATGGCTCTTTGAATAAGGGGAAAAAACTACTATTTTTAGTGTCGGTGTTCAAAAACTAAAACATTTGTGATTGAATGTCAACCAACATTCTGTGTATCTCATATTCCATGTTATTACTGGAAACTGTCCCTAGAGTATAAGTTCAAGACAAGCCTACATGCAGCTGTATCTGAATACACTATAGCCTATTGTAGTCCTTATTTGCCTTCATGTATCCTTTTCTATCTACTCTCCTTCACTTTGTTTTTCATGATGTTGCTTTTCCTTCCAAGTAAGCTAACCTTGTTTTATTCTCCTTCAATTTTCTCATCCATCATTATTACCACATCTCCAAACTTTACTACCACATCTCATAGTTTTATTCCCTCCTATTCTGTATTTTCTTTACTCTTACCCTATTACTTGATTCATCTTGTTTTACTATCATTATGCATATTTCTTAAGTAATTCAGTGGCCAGAATTTTAGCTAGATATCTGGAAGGAGTATTTATTTATTTATTTATTTATTATTATTTGGACATGATACATAGTTGTACAAAAGAAATACAGTGGTTGAGTGTACATGCCAAAAGCCCCTTGTATGCAGAGCATTATGAGCAGGCTTAAAATTAACTTAAAATTAACTAGGCAATGATATATTCAGTGGTAAAAATACAGTAAACATATTACAACATGAAGTACAAATGAGTATTTCAAATAAGAGGCTTTATAGTTGTACAGATTTGTAGCACATTTGATGAGTTACTGAACATTCAAGAGAATGGAGTATACTCATGTGTACTATTTATTCTTATCTCTTGCCTTACCGTCTCACCTATTTCAGTCTCATTCTCCTTGACATTTTGTCTGTCTGTGTAGTTGTAACATGGCTTGAATCTAATATTTTACACTTTCACCTGTCAAAATCCATCACTTTATAATGCACTAGTAGAGTTTACATTTCAATTTCTTCTGTTTCACATTTTGTTAAACTTCTTACTTTCAGCAACTTGTACATGAACATCCAAAACATTGAAATCTCATTATTTTTAATGCATACAATCCACTGTTTATCAACATATGCATATACAGTTAACCTTCCCATGAAGCAAAAATACTTAGCATGATATTAACTGAAAAGCTGTTGACAATTTGCAATCTTATTTTTTATCCCTTGAGGAAGCTCTTAATAGTACATTCCGTATGTGTGGAAGTATCACATAATGCACCAAACCTTGGTGGCAGCAGTTAGTTTTTCCCCTCTGAAGCACAATACCTCCCTCATCCTGCATTGTAACCTATGCTGCCTACCGTCACATTCTAGAAGCATTGCATGTGGTACTGACTCTGTTATCAAAAGATTCTGGATCATTTCATCACTTGGTACCCAAGAGGAATACTGGAGGTTAATGAAGGAGTTATGTGAATCCCTGACATTATTGAAGAAAGTGGAAATTTTAGATACACTTCAAGGCAGTGCACATATAATGAAGGGTGCACACACTTTTGGCCTGAGAGAATCCATCATGACTCATGAAATTATAGTAACACGATTGTAAGCAAACCATAAAATGGGTGTGGTTTGAACCCTTGGTCTGGAGTTTTACGACTCACTCGCCATGAGCTCAAACCCCACCCATTCCATGGTTAGAATTCATCATTCATACAGTTAGAGACTGCGAGAAAAAACTGAGCTTGTGCAATTACAGTGGACCCCCGCTTAACGATCACCTCCCAATGCGACCAATTATGTAAGTGTATTTATGTAAGTGCGTTTGTACGTGTATGTTTGGGGGTCTGAAATGGACTAACCTACTTCACAATATTCCTTATGGGAACAAATTCGGTCAGTACTGGCACCTGAACATACTTCTGGAATGAAAAAATATCGTTAACTGGGGATCCACTGTAGTAGTGTTGACAGTGATATATTAAAGAGAATGTCATAGAGATCAGTAATGCTCAGTAGGACAGAAATATAACTCATTGTATGAACTTAAGAAAAAACAAGGAAAGGGGTCCAGCTTAGTGCTTAGATGATAAGGAACAAAGCCCTATCTCACTATAAAATTCTGTGAGAAGGAAGGAGAGCCTTCAAAATTCAGTAAAACTTTGAAATCTGCCCATGTGTTTCTTGAAAATTTTTTGAAACTGTCATAGTAACATAATAAATTTAATGTTCAGTACTGGACTTTGCTCACCAGAAACTGAAGTGTTAGCTGGTTAGCAGGTTTTTTGGCTCTCCTAGTCTAGTATCTACTTTTATTTAGCCTTTAACCCTTTCAGGGTTTTCGACGTACTAGTTCGACTTGGGCACCAGGGTTATTGACGTACTAGAACGCCTAAATTCTAGCGCCTTCAAATCTAGCGAGAGAAAGCTGGTAGGCCTACATATGAAAGAATGGGTCTATGTGGTCAGTGTGTGCAGTATAAAAAAATCCTGCAGCACACAGTGCGTAATGAGAAAAAAAAAACTTTGACCGTGTTTTTGAATTAAAACAGCGACTTTGCACTGTATTTTTGTATGGTATTTATCGTTGTTTTCTAGTTTTCCTGGTCTTGTTTTATAGAATGGAAGACATATTACAGAAATTGAGATGATTTTGACTGATTTTACAATGAAAAGCACCTTGAAATTGAGCTCAAAGTAGCAGAAGTGTTCGATTTTTACCAAAGTTCAAAAGTAAACAAATCATGCCAAGTGTCCAATACACATCAACTGGTGAGTCTAATATTCTTTCACAAGTGCGCTGATATTATTTATACCATTTCTGCACTAATGCAGTAGTCTGCATAACAGTAAATCTTCTATTTTTTGTAAGAATAAAAATTCAAAGTGGAAAGCCAAAGAAATATAAGAGGGGCATGGGAATGTGACTAACGAACAGAGAACTTGTTATTTTAGTGACAGGAATGTCTTTCCTATTTATTCTGGACCCTATTTGGAAATTAGCATCATTTGAAATTTGTGTGAAATTGGCAAAATTGCCAATTTCTAACCACTTTATTGGATAGTTGAAATTGGTAAATAGGTGGTTTCTTGTACTCATTCGATAGAAAAAATGGATTTCTAGCGAAATAGTTTTGATTTTTGTTGACTAGTACACAGGAATTGGCCAAAAATAGGGCTCAAAATGGGCGAATCGCCGATGTTTACACATCGGCGAGACTGCTAACTTTGCAAGAGCATAATTCCGTAAGTTTTCCATCAAATTCCATACTTTTGGTGTCATTATGATCGAGAAAAGATTCTCTATCATTTCATAAGAAAAAATCATTTTGTTTTTTCCGAAAAATTTTCGACCCTGAGAACAAGTTTAGGAGAGGGCTTATCGACCCTGAAAGGGTTAAACTGTATTACAGACTTAATGGCCAAATTGTTCATGCCATGGATCTATAAATTAATTTTCATGGGCACATTTTGAATGTGGCAAGGTATATTTTGTGATTAATGAATGTCTTTGGTCCAGAGTGTTAAAACATTAGTTTGTAAAAAATGTAGGAGCTGAGCATGCCCGCCCAGGTCGGCAGTCTTGGTTTATTACAACAGTGGTACTCACTACTGACAAGACTGGGTAGCTTAACCCTTTCACTGTCCAGCCCTCAAAATTAAAAGTGCTCACAGTGTACCCTCTAAAAAAAAAATTCTTCTGAAATGGTAGATTTTTTTTTTTTTTGTGATAACTCCAAAAATACAGAATTTGATGAAAAACTTAGGAATTATGTTGGCACAAAGTTAGTGGTCTATGCACAATTTATTTATCAGCAATTTTGCTGACTTTGAGTCCAATTTTTAAACCAATTCCATTGCTCAATTTCTTAGCTATTTTGCTAGTATGCCTTCTGTTCTGTCTATTGAGCATGAGAATTTTGCTAGTACATGTATACCTTCTGTTCTACCTACTGAGCACAAGAAACCTCCCATTCTACTATCTAAACTTTCCTATAAAGTGCACAGAAGTCAGTAATTTGGCCAGTTTTACACAAAATTAAAAAATAAATGCTAAATGTTCCAGGCACTAAAACATTTCCTCAGTTCATTAATTACAGCCCCAGGCCTCTCATTTTGAATTCATCTTCACACAAGAAATCAAAGATTTACTCTATTTCTTGGATTACAAAAATATAGCCAGAAATAAGAACATAAGAAAGAAAGAACACTGCAACAGGCCTACTGACCCATGCAGACCAAGTCCATGTCCCCCCCCATCCCCTGGATTAGCCCAATGATCCACTCGGTCTGGTCACCTCCACTCAAGGAAGGAGCACAGCACCAGACCCAGCAGCACAAGCTAGTCAGGTCCAACTCACACCCACCCACACCCACTCATGTATTTATCTAACCTATTTTTAAAACTACACAACGTTTTAGC